GATTTAGCAGTGTCTTGTGGGGCTTAGCAAACAAAGCTCCACAGTATTTGAGGCAACCCCCCTGCACAAGGGTGGGGGAACTGGATCTGGTCGGACTCCTCATGGGCCAAGTTTGACAGGGGGTTGGAGGAACCCACCTGTCAATCACCTGGTGTCGCAGTGACATATCTTACAGTAAGTAGTGGCTGTTAGTGAGGCAGGGTGTGATGTTGTCAAGGGATGGCAGTGCTGGCAATATCAGGGAGCTCTCTATCAGTTGGCATAATTATCTGGAATAGTCCTGATATTATGTTGTGGATACTTCTCTCTCTCAAATCTAACCTAGTAGCCAAACAGTTAAATATACTGTGCTATCTGATTTCATTTCCCCCCTCTTCGTTTGCACAGACAGAGGAAAATGTTTCATTGCTTGCATTTCTCAGAACACAGCCTCCTGTATATTTCATAAAGTCTCGGTAGAATAGATTAAAGATAGAACTGCATAATTAAATTTTTAATTTTGACAAACACCCTGGGTGTCTGCATCATGCCTTGTGGCAGTTATGTTAACCTCTTGCCAGCTTGACAATAAAATTATATAATATAGCATAGCAGGCAATTTGTGATCCCAAACTCAATTATATTGGCATGTTTTTGCTTTAGCAGACAGCACTTGGTGTAAAAGAAGTTGTTTATGGAGGCAGACTATGGGAGCGTCCACATATTGACAATTTTCTCTCACTCCTGTCTTTTGCTGAGAATCCAGATGACATTCCTCCCAAACCATTACATTCCTGCTTCCCACTTCTAAAACAAACAAAATGCATCACTCTGTCTCTTTAATTGCTGATTTAATTGTATTTTTGGTGTTTTCACTGCAGATGTTCTACGATATCTGAATTGAATTACTTTACTGAATTTGGAGGTATGGTTTGTGATATGTTTGTTGATGGTGTGTAATACAGTGGTACCTCGGGTTACATACGCTTCAGGTTACAGACTCCACTAACCCAGAAATAGTGCTTCAGGTTAAGAACTTTGCTTCAGGATGAGAACAGAAATTGTGCTCCAGCGGCGTGGCGGCAGCAGGAGGCCCCATTAGCTAAAGTGGTGCTTCTGGTTAAGAACAGTTTCAGGTTAAGAACGGACCTCCGGAACGAATTAAGTACTTAACCCGAGGTACCACTGTACTACCTCTGTCCATTTTCTGAGCACCTTCCCACCATTACAGTAGTACCTTGGAAGTTGAACAGAATCTGTTCTGGAAGTCCGTTTGACTTCCAAAACATTTGAAAACCAAATTACAGCTTCGGATTGGCTGCAGAAAGCTTCTGCAGCCAATCCGAAGCCGTGGAAACCCTGTCAGACGTTTGGGTTCCTAAAGAACGTTCGCAAACTGGAACAATCACTTCCAGGTTTGTGACAACATCTGAGTTTCAGGGTGTTCGGGGTCCAAGGTACGACTGTACTTGTTTTATAATGCAGCCTTTGGCTAGAAGTAAAACTGTAGGAATCCCACTACAGCTAAAGGCCAAAATAAGACGAAGTTAACATAGGGTCTGACAATTTCACCTTTTTTCCTTTTCTTACATCGAAACTGTAGCAAAACTAGCTGCAAGAGTGACAGAGGGGAAATCTTGTCAATGTTACTTCTTTGTTACAAAATATACCCTGTTTTTGATGAAAACTGAAGATGTAGCAGATCGTCTTTCCTTCACCCCTTCATCCACTCTGACTTGAGTTTCAAGGATTGAAAGATGGGAAACGGACAAACCAGCCACTTTGATGCCATAGGAGCTTTTCCTGGGAATGGAGAGAGAGAGGGGATTTCCTTCCGCAATTTTAGTTAATGATATCATGTATCTTCCCTTGCAGTGAGAAAATTCCTCCCCGCTCCCAACACACACACACACACACCTCCAGTCTCCAGACCAGAAATCAAGTAGCTTTATTGCAGTCCAATGACACATTCCTGCCAGGAAAAAGCACTGAAGGAGGCAACAGGGGAGGCTGTGGCTTGGTAATGGGTGTGGCCTGCAGAAAGTCTTGAGGGCCAGAGAGAGAGGCATGGAGGGCCATATTTTATTCCTGCAGCTGAGGTTCCCCTTCTCTGCTTTGGCAGAGAAAAAAAGAGTGACTTGTTCAGGTTCCCCGATAGTTGCAATGGTGCCTGCAGGTGCTTTAGTTAAACGGACTGGTGTGGGTAGCCAAAGTCTCCCCAGCATAGTGTTTCCCTTCTGAAAAAAGAAATTTATGTGGGAACTTCATTTGGGCAGTTATCATTGGAACAGGCTAGTGATTGTATGCTACAGTAAGTTCACAACTTGCACTGATTTTACTTAGGTGATCACAGCTTTCTACAAAACACCAATAGATAGATAGATAGATAGATAGATAGATAGATAGATAGATAGATAGATAGATAGATAGATAGATAGATAGATAGGATAGATAGACAGGATACCCTTGTGCAATGGTCCCAGAGGACTGACTTAAGAGCTTTTTCTGCAAAAGGTTTTCCCACTGGGCCTTCATAAGATCTCATGGGGTCTTTGTGAGATCAAAGGCCATCCAAGACCTTGTGAACACCTCGAAAGTGGTAGGAATGCCCTTTGCTTCTAGAAACCATTTTTAACCTCTCCGTCTTGCTTACAAGCCGCTGTGAGGGTTGTGAAGTATCTCAAACGGCCCTGAATCTCACAAGATCTTAGACAGTGGGCGCGGTTCTGGGGATCATTCTGACTTTATGTGATTTTGCATTTACATGCAACTCCTGGGAATTGTGAACCTTGCATAAATTGTGTTCATACTGTATTAATAAACGTGGCATTTTTTTGGTGTCAGAGAACTTTTGTTATTGGCCAGTACAGAAGTCTGGGGAAACATGTAGTATGCAAACCAGTGTTTACTGTTTACTGTGAGGGAGAGGCAAAGATCTGCTCACTTCAGGAGCTGTGTGTGTGTGGTCCATTCTAACCTTGACCAAGAGGTCAGCATGTTAAGTTTACTGATAAAGACTTATGCTTGTGTGTACTCATGTACATTCCTCCTCCATCATTCTATTACCAAGTACCCCGATGACTTTTTATATGTTGATATTCTTTATTGTGGGGTGTTCGTTGTTGTTTTTTTAAAAAATCTTCTTTCTTGTAAGCAGCCTTGGTGGGTTTTGTATCCTGAAAGTTATGGCATGAAAAGAATTCAAGCAAAGCAAGATGGTCCTCTCTTCATTCACTTAATTAACCATTATGCAGTTTTATTATGCAATGCATGCTACTTATTCACTTGTGTTTATTGAGTCACCAAAGATCTGTGAACATAAATGCACCCCTCTCTTTTTCAGAATTGTGCACCCAAACTCTCATTCCTTGGAGGTTTTTAAGCAGTGCTTGGATGGTCATCTGTCATGGATGCTTTAGCTGAGATTCCTGAATTGCAGGGGGTTGGACTAGATGACCCTTGGGGTCCCTTCCAACTGTACGGTTCTATGAATGCCTGTAGCACTCTCATTAACATTGCTGCAACATTGGAGTCACATACTGTTTGATGATGGACCTGAAGTTCGTTTGTGTTAGTACTGTATAGTCAGTCCTAGTTAAGTATGCATGTGCTGGTGCAAAAAAAAGAAAAGAAAAGAGCTTTAAGATGAGGCCATAAATCTTAATTTTCCAAAGTGTCATTATGCCCTAACCCTATATGGCTTGTAAATACAAGCACTTTGGCATTCATAACACTCAAAGCACCTCTGAGTCTCTCTTGGGCTATTTGCAGAAATGTGTGAACACTGTTCATGCAGAACGAAAAGGAAGAAAGTTTAGATTGAGTGTCTATTTTACATTTTAATCACAAATGTGGGGGAGTCCAGATTTACACCAGAGGTGGGGCTCGGGACATTGCGCTGCCATTGACAGGACTCACCCTCTCCTGTTTCGCCAGAGTTTGGCTATGGTGTGGGTAATCTTATGTTTCCGTTACCATATTATAAAGCATCCCAACTTGCTTTTGATTCTTCACCCCTCCCCCTCGCTCACCAAGGAGAATGATGGGTTAAGGAAACGGAGAACAAAACAAGTATTAATGGGATGCGTTTCATTGAAAGGGGGTAGTGATAAGATATGAATAGAGGTAAGTACTTGGTATTAGTTGACGACAATTGGATTGTGTAATGAAGACAAACACGAAAGCGAGTTTTAATACTTCACTCCTAAAGTCTACCAACAAACAGTCCCTGGGGCATGAGAAACGCCTACAGTGTTGCTTTCAAACGGGCGCCACTGACATTAACCTATCAAAAGCGCGCGGCCGCTAGTCTGTTCCGCCTGCTATTTCTTTTTGCAAGGCAGACGCGAAAGGCACCAATATAGCTCGACTTTGGGATCTGGTAGGATGGGAGGTCCGGGGAGGCGGGGGTTGGGAAAGAGGAAGGAAATCAAACAATATGCAATCCGGAGGATGTATATAATAATTGTTTGTCTCGCCAAAATGAGATGAAATGAAAAGGCGAGCCTCCCTTCCAGAAGCTCGCGGTACTCAAGCGCCACCTACAGCTGCTGCGCGAAAAGCAAAACCCCGAAGCAGGAGGCGATGCCCCGAGGACGCGCTTCGATTCCTACAAGCCATGAGCTCACCCAGGACGACACCCGGCGATGTGGGAATCATCTCTCACCAGATTCACCTTGGCGGATTCTGGTAAATAAAATAATCACCGTAAATGCTCTGCAAAGGCGTCCGGGCTCTAGGAAACCGAAGGAGAGGGTGAAATCATTAATCCAACTCAGCTTTAATGATCCATCTACGAGCCAGTCGCTGGCTGTCTCCCCCTCCCCACGAAGCTGCAAGCCCGGCCCCTTCGCACTTCCACTTCATCCCCCCGTTTGCAAGAGCCGCGGCGAAGGGGGTGTGTCTGCAGACATGTGGGGGAACTTAATAAAGGCCGAGAGGAGGAGCCGAGGGGCGGGGCGGAGCGGCGCCATTGGCTGGCCCGGGGAGTGATGTCACCCATATGAAACCCTGATAACTAGTTCGGAGAGGACCCGCAACTTTTGCAGAAGGGGGAGTGAGATCCAGCGACATCTCTGGGTCCGGGCGGCTGCTGTGGCTGCTGCAGGGGGAGGGGAAAGAGCCGGAGCGAGTCCTGCTTCTGCCGCTGCTGGAGGAACGGCCAGCGGCAGCAGCCCAAGGAGAAGGAAAGGAGGAGGGGAAGAAAAGAAAAAAGCCGCTTGCAACTTGCACACCGGGCGTCACCTTGCAACCGCTCGCTCGAGGTGTGCAAGCAGCCGGTGGGAGCCAGCAAAAAGGAAAAAGAACATTATTATAATTTCCAAATAAAACGCGACAAGGCAAGCAACTCAAGCGAAGCGACACACCCCCACCATGGTGCAGCAAGCGGAAAGTCCAGAAGCCGAGAGCAACCTGCCCCGAGAAGCGATGGATACGGAGGAAGGCGAGTTCATGGCTTGCAGCCCGGTGGCGCTGGACGAGAGCGACCCGGACTGGTGCAAAACGGCCTCGGGCCACATCAAGCGGCCCATGAACGCCTTCATGGTGTGGTCCAAGATCGAGCGGAGAAAAATCATGGAGCAGTCGCCCGACATGCACAACGCCGAGATCTCCAAGCGCCTGGGCAAGCGGTGGAAAATGCTGAAGGACAGCGAGAAGATCCCGTTCATCCGCGAGGCCGAGCGGCTGCGCCTCAAACACATGGCCGACTACCCCGATTACAAGTACCGGCCGAGGAAAAAGCCCAAAATAGACCCGTCCGCCAAGCCCAGCAGCGCCAACAACCACAGCCCGGAGAAAAACACACCCACCAGCGGCGGCGGAGGAGGCGGCAACCACGGCAGCAGCAGCAGCAGCAAAAGCGCCAAAAGCTCCAGCAAGAAATGTAGCAAAGGGAAGACGTCGTCCCCGCCGAAGCCCGGGACGAAGCTGGCGGCGCACCCGGGCGACTACGGCGGGGACGAGTACGCCCAGTTCGGCGCGCTGAAAGGGGGCGGCAAGGCGGCCAAGTGCGTCTTCCTGGACGACGAGGACGACGAGGAGGAGGACGACGACGACCTGCAGCTGCGGATCAAGCAGGAGGAAGACGAGGACGACGAGGAGGAGGAGGAGAGCCGCCGGCAGCAGCAGCAGCAGCAGCTGCGGCGCTACAGCGTGGCCAAAGTGCCGGCCAGCCCCACCTTGAGCTCGTCGGCCGAGTCGAGCGAAGGCGCCAGCCTGTACGACGAGGTGAGGGGCGGCGCTGCGGCGCACGGCGCCAGCGCGGGCCGCCTGTACTACGGCTTCAAGAGCATGCCCAAGAGCGCCCCGCAGGCCGGCCTGCCGCCGGCTTCCTCCCGCTCGATCTCCACTTCCTCTTCGTCGTCCTCTTCCTCCGGCAGCAGCAGCGGCGGCGAAGAGGCCGACGACCTGATGTTCGACCTGAGCTTGAATTTCTCGCAGCACCCGCACGCCGCCTCCGAGCTGGGCGTCGGCTCGGCCGCCGGGAACCTGTCGCTCTCGCTGGTGGACAAAGATCTGGATTCGTTCAGCGAGGGCAGCCTGGGCTCCCACTTCGAGTTCCCCGATTACTGCACCCCGGAGCTGAGCGAGATGATCGCGGGGGACTGGCTGGAGGCGAACTTCTCCGACTTGGTTTTCACCTACTGAGAGAGGAGGAGAAGGACGAGGAGGAGAAGGAGAAGCGATGGGCAGGTGAACAAGCTGAGAGAGCGATCAAAAGGACTGGGAAGCAGAGAGAGGGGCAGATCGGGGAAAGAGAGATGCTTACACGCTGAAAAGTGGTGGAGTTTTGAAGTAACGACGACAAAAAAAATGTCTTTGGGGTTTTTTTCTTCCTTTTCTTTTTTCTAAGTCTTGAAGTTAGTTCCAAACCGAGTCTGGAGTTGTGATTTTTTTTTCCTTCCCGTTTTTCTTATTTTTCCCTTCTGATTTTAATTGGTGGTCGCAACAGCAGCAGCAAGGAGAGAAGAAGAAAAAAGCAAATGGGACTGGGGGTTACAAAGATACAGAAGGCGCTGTTTGAAGCTTGTGGGTCTTGCGGTTGAAGTCTGGAAGATGGTCTGCAAAAAAACGAAGAAGAAAGTCTTTTGGCAGCACAACGATTACTCAAGGGGGTTTGTGGATTTTTTTGTTTCTCCTACAAAGATTTTTAAAGGACCGTTCTGATTTTTCTGATATATTTCTCTCTTTCTCTCTCTTTTTTTATTTGTAAAAGGGACCATTGCAACTGTTTTTGTTTGTTTGGAGGGAGAAAACTGATGTCTTCTATGCATCCGATTCTTAACAAAGCTGCAGGGAGCTTGGAAAAAAAATGCAGACTGTACAAACGCTTACAAAAAACAAAAACTGTGAACTGACTTAAGATCAGAGTTTACTTTTCAGATCAAATTGTTTATGGTTTTACAAATGTGATTTCTACTTGCCAACTTTTTTTTTGTAACTTGTTCCCTTATACCTCCTTGATTGAATACCAGACAGCCTAGACCTCAGTACACAAAGGTATTGAAACATTTTTGATACATAACAGACCTCAGTCTTTTTTAAAAATTAATATATTTTCAGGCGTATTTTTGTACAGTGAAAGGGAACATTCTTGCTGTGTTTTTTCAGTAAGACTTTTCAGGCACTTCTTCCCTTTTATTTTTATGTTTTATTTTTTTTCCTCTGTTTTTAGCATGCAAGTTATATGGGTACGTTTATGTCCTGGTTTTAAAAGGATTAAAAAAAATCCTTGCATCTAAAGGCCTTGTGGTTTAAAAAGAAAAAAAAGAAACACTTTTTTGTACAGCTATAGTTCAGATTTGTTCAATATTTGTAGGTAAAGATTTATTGAAAATGGTGATATAGACCTCAGAGCTGTTATCTTAGTTTAAAAGATTGTATATGTACTGTACTATAGTAGGAATTTATGTATCTCATACGCTGTGATATGTGGATGGGGGCCCAGATGGAAGGTATGAAACTGGATTCTCGACTTTTTTTTTTAAGCAAAAAAAAAGATGGAATGGGAAAAAAGAAAGGCACATAGTAAAAAGAAAAAAGTTTCTCATTTTGTGCAATATAAAGTACAGACCATCTGCGTATTTTGTAGCAAACAGTGGCAAAAAAGCAGACGTGTGCACTGTCGACATCATTGCCTGTTTGTTTTTTTTAAAAAAAAGAAAGAAATGCTGAAAGTCTGTATCTTGACAATTTTAATAAATCAGCTGGAACTGATAGAAACTCGATTCGCTATTAGTGTCTATAGAAGGGGCGCTGGTGGAGACGCCATGTATAATAGCCAACCCCTCCCTCACCCATGGAGGAGCCTTAGCTGAGGCTTCAGGGAGTCTTATTGGGGGGGGAGGGAGCGAAGAGAAAAAAGGGGGAGGTTGAAGGTAGCATATAGACTTTTAAAGGGCTGATCCTCCTCTTTTTAGACCTCTTCCCTTGCTTTCTCTCCCTCTCTCCCCCCTTCCAATATCCCCTTCTCCCTTTCTCTCTCCCCTCAGTTATCCCCTCCTTCAGGCTTTTTCGTCGGAGGTACTGAGTGGGCGGAGGCGAAGCAGGAAGGCTGAACCCGGGGAGGGGGAAGGGGGGAAAAAAGAAAAGAAAAGGCAAGGCGGTCTGGGCTCTCTGTGCGTGTTTTCGGGCTGTGCGTTTGGGCGGCGCGCGCGCGGGGGTTTCTTCCTGTCAAGAGAGAGAGAGGTGGCAGCAGGTACCAAGGATGCTCGCGTCCTTGGGAGCCGGCAGGGAAGGGTTTGTGTGTATGTGGGAGCTTCGTGTAGCTGTTCTGTGTTGGAGGCGGGCGGGTCACCTTCAGGCTCTGGGTGTGCGCGCGCATTTGTGCGACTGAGGCGAGAGGTTTATTTCTCACAACGGTCTCTCTCTCTTAGATATCTCTCTCGCCTCGGACTCCCTCCCTGCTCTCCACCCTTCTCTCAGGAAGAAAATAAGATTTTTATTTATTTCTCTGAGGAGAAGGGACGCCTTTTTCTCGCCCTCCCTCCCTCCCTCCTTTCTCGACGCGCTCTCCTTGAGGTGCTGTTGCGGGAGGCGTGAAAAAGGAGGGACGAGGGTGCCTTTCCTTCATGAAGGCAGCCTCCCGGGCTGAGGCGGCGAAGGGGGTGTGTCTTGACCATGCGCGGCGGGCGCTCGGTCTCCGCTCGGAATGCTTGTTTGCTGCGTCGCCTCAGGAGCGCGCGGCTGGAGGGGGATGGGGACGAGGAGTGACGTTGTCGGCGTGTGTTGTTGGGGGGGGGGGTTCGTTCGGTCAAATTTTCAGTCTGAGCCGTGCCTATTTTAGCCGTGGATAGTTGGAAGAGCGCGCCGCTTGCCTCCCAGACCGTTCCTTCCGTTCTCCTCCTCCTCCATCCTAATTTCCAGAGGAGAAGGGGGCGTGGGGTGCGCGCCGCCGTCTGGCGCGCCAGCTCGGAAAGGGAGCGAGGGGGTGAGAGAGAGAGAGAGAGTGCGCGCGGCCGTGTGTGCGCGCGCACGCCGGGATGGATGGAGGAGGGGAGGCGGCTGGCTGGGGAGACAGCGGCGTGAGCATCCATCTCCCCTCCCCCCCTTCCAGCCTCTGTATGCGCGAAGGGAGGCTACCTTTTCTCTTCAGCGGGGGGAGGAGGGCTGCTCGTGGCTTCTCTCATTTTTCATCGAGGCAGCTCTCCTCTCTTCCCCTTCTTCCTCCTCTTCTTCTTCCCCCTCCCCTTCAGCTCCAGTTCATCCCACAACCTTTCGACTGGATATAATTGAAGAGCCTGGTGTGTGTTTGTGTGTGTGTTTTATAGGCAACTTGGATGTAGTCCTTCGCTTCCAGGCTCCCCTCCCCCTTTCCTTTCCAATGGACTTTTATATTGAGCCTGTGCAGAACCCAACCGGCAGCCACCTCTTGGAGCTGCGGTTGTGGCTCTTGCTATTTCTCTCTTTATTGGCCTGGGCGGGACCTCTGGGTTGCTGTAAAAAGATGCTCTGGAGGAGAGGAGGCCTTTTTGCATCTCCCTTGCCTTATTATGCTCTTGCTTAATCAGCAGCCCAGAGCAGCAGGGAGCCGCTTTACCAATGAGACATGCTCCAGTTCCCTTTTCTTTACTGAGACCTGGGCCTATAGATGGGCCACAGGCAGGGGGGCTTAATCTTCTGCCCCAGATTGATAGATATTTTCATGCACATTGGAAGGGGGAGGGGAAACAGCAACAGCATGCTATTGCGTTTCAGTCTTACACTTTGGACAACAAAAACCAGATGAATGTTTTAAGTAGACTAAAATCCTATGCATGTTTTCTGAAGAGGTGAATGCCGTTGAGTCCCAAGTTGGTATAGGATTGCAGCCTTAGGTAGAAGGATGGCCTGTGGTGGCAGGCCATCCTTTTTTCTTTTTAAGTTTTACAAATAAATCACTTGCACAATTGTCAGTACACTTGTGCTGGCAAACTTCAGTGTAACCAGCCCTAACTATGTTTTACTCAGAAGTAGGTCAAAGAAAGTTCAATAGAATTTAGGGATAAGTAGGTGTGATTACATTTTACCTGCTCAAACAATTTGGACTTGTTTTGGTGTGTGAAACATACTTAGGATTGGGCTGTTGGTAGTTTACATGGGCATTTTACTCTCTTGGCAACTCTAGAAACCAGTGCTGTAGGCTTTCAGGCTTGCTGAAGGTCAAGTCCTGCCTACACGTTTGTATGGCATAAATAGAGCATTAAAAAAAAAATATGCTTATAATCCTTGACATCTGGGCATCTAAATTTTAAAATTAGTTTATTGAATGTTTTAAAACTCTCCAAATCAAGATCTTCTCATTCTAAATGGGGGGGGGGGGAGTTTGGCCTAAAGGTTTGTTGGGCTAAAAGATCTTGGCATAACTAGAAATTGTAATATATCTTTCATTGTGTAAGTATGAGTCACTGTGTTTAATATAATACCCAGAAATACACTTGGCTATTGATAGCCTTCAATAATACAAAGATTCTTTGGTGGTGGGGTTGGTCCTTACATTATTAGTGTATTTATAGCTTCTTTCAAAAATTGTATTGCAATCTGTTGAAATATTTGAAAGCAAAAGAAGCAGAAAGAGGACTCTGCTCAGCAATTTAGCCATTAATTTTGTAGATGAACACCACCAAGTTCATCCACTGGGCCTGATGAAATCCCAGACTTTACTAAGCCCAAACTGAGCTAAAAGGCTTTCATTCTCTTAACTATGGTGTATGTTCATTGGTAGAGATGGTCTCCCAGTCTCTCTATTTTACATGCGTCCTTGTTTATGGGTGGGGGGGTGGGGAAGCAGTGGGATTGTTGCTGGTATTTAGTAAGCTATGTATTAACTGCATTAAAGTTAAGAGTGCTCTGCATTGATAGCAGGAACTATGTTCCTAGCCTCTGCCTCTTCACTTCTTATATGTAGTTTGTATGCGTGCATGCGTGTGTGTCTTAATTCATCTAGATATGAACTATTTGGATTGAGTAGTACAGCTGCATTTGCTCTATTGTGGGAGTGGGTTGGAAACAACTTTTCCAAAAGCAAATCTGAAATTGTGTGGGTTTGATGGAGGGACTAAGCTTAGGGTTTGAATGAATGTGCAATATACAAGGAAGAAGAACTTGCATTTTGTCTGGAAAGTTTTGTTATCCCCCGCCTTCAATTTATCCATTTGATGGGTAGGGTTGGTTTTTTTTTCCGAATTCAAGAAGAGAATATTGCCATCCAGTCCTGTGAAACTATTAGTTTTTGCTGCTGCTGAAATTCATGCCAAAATTCCCACTGTTGGTGGGTGGAAAGCAGTCTTGCTGTCAGTAAAACTGTCATGGGGCAGACTGCTTTCCAGTGCTGTCACTGCAACCTGAAGCACACTTACAAAGAATTAAGATCCATTTGGCTCAGTAGGACCTGCTTCCAAGTAAACCTGCACTGCATGTTTACTATCATCATAGTAACATACAAGTTCCTGATTCTTCCTTGTTGAAGTGTACATGTGATCTTTGCAGACTACTTCAGGCATAGAAACCCTCTGCTGCCACAACCCTTGGCTGTTTCGTTGCTGTCTTTTTCATAGTTCCTCAGCACTTTTCTTCTCTGTGGGTGAGGAGATGCATAAAACAAAATGTTTTAACGATTGTCAGCTTTTTAATATATGAAAAATTCCTGATCTATAAAGGAAAACATTTAAAAAAGGCAACCTAAGATTTTTTTAAAGACACTTTTTGGAAGGTGAAATCCAGTTTGTACCTTTCCTTCTGGCTAGGTCCTCTCTAATGTTAGAAAATCTAATTCACAAAATGTTTAATTCTTTAAGGGCAATATATATGACAGATTAAATAGAAAAGATTGATTAAAAATGTCTTTTAAAATTGTATTTACTCAAAATATGTAGATGTCCATACATGCAAAAGGTAACTTTTTCCTAGTGTAGTAGCTACAAAAAGTGATTCGAACCTATGAGGCCTTAACGGCCATTCATGCCAATGTAAATTGGTTATAAAAGTTTAGTTAGACCAATCTCTATTGAATGTGAAGTCAGAATCAGGCACTGAAGACATTTTAGTCTTTGGAAGTCTACTCTACAGAACTCTCTTGGTTCTATATCTCCACCTTTGTCACACATTCCTATTTTATGGCCTGGTAAGATCCTCATCCTGCACTTCTTTGAGTCTGATTTGTAATTTTCAGTGTTTTGAATTTTGGGGCCTTGATTCTCCAATAGGTTGAAACCATAGTGTTCTGTTTTTGTTTTTCACAGCCTCACCCCTTATTCTTCAGTAGTTACAAGAACTAGGGAGAAATTCCTAACTTTTATCTTTGTATTTCAACCTTTTGACTCCCAATCTCTCTATCTTCTTCTTCTTCCTCCTCCTCCTCCACACACAGTAAGTTGTGGAGATTTTTCTCCCCTCCCCTTTCCACACACTACCTATAGCAATTAACTGCCTACTTGATTTTTACCCTCCCTTCATGGATGCAGTGAATTTTTAAGAGAATTTCACAAGCAAGTAGTTTTTTAGTGAGTTTAAAAGTAAACAGAGTTTTAAAAGCCTATTTTTATATTCAGTATAAAGCACAAATGTGCAGAAAGTGTAGAATGACTTACAAAAAGGGAAGTAAAAGTCCATAATATTTCATGTATAAAAGTAATACCTTGATCGGGTATTGGTCCTCCTAGAAAAGCCCAGTAGTTATGCCGGTGCAATGCTAGGATTATAGAAACATCTAGAAAATGACGGTGGATAGCTATTTCAAAGGAATGACTTCTATGAATAAAAGCAACCCCAAAATCACTTTGGCCAAGAAGGGGTTGGTGGTTCTCAAGGATGCACAGTCAACCTGGAAGTGGAGTTCCCTGTCTTTATTAAGTCATCACACACCTCCTCGTATTTGTGGGTATTATTTCATGCCCAAATGTTTCCTGATGTAACCTGAGAAGACATATATTCTTATTGGGCTCTCTGGTTAATTATGCTTTCAAGAAATCAAATTCTAATACGGTTTACTTTGCTAACATGTCCCATTAATTTCAGTGGAACTTCTGTGTACCTCAGTGGGAGTGAACTCCCTACTTAATTTTCATTAAAGTTGGGATTACGTCCATAGTATTTTATCTTATGCAAAAAAATAAAAATAAAAATGTGATGATGTAATAAACACTAACACAGGAACTCTCATCCTTACTGTTAATTTTTATTTACATCTTCCTGCTTATCTTCAAACGTAGCTTGTGTCTACTCCTGGTTACACCAGGAGTGCAAGGTAGCACCATTGCCATTTCATTTGTAATTTCTGGTTTATGAACGTGTACCCACACATTGGAAGCTTGGAGTCTACATAATGCTATGATCTTTTCTTTCTTTCTTTCTTTCTTTCTTTCTTTCTTTCTTTCTTTCTTTCTTTCTTTCTTTCCTGGTGGGCTGTTTTAGTTTGGAGGCCTATTGTACCAGTGTGGGAATCTTGATGGTTACAACATTTTAAGGAGACGTTGCATGATGGCCACAGGTGGAGTAAACTGAATGTCTTTAGAGCAGTTTTATTTCTTCTTCCAGCATGACACTTTTAAAAAATAAATATGTAATTTCAAAATAAGGAGGGGGAAAAAAAAGAGTTTTCAAAGGCCACATGAGGAAAAAAAAAAGTTTTCCGTAGCCACTCCAGGTATGGGGAGGAGAGGAAAGCTAAAAAGTACTTTTGTTTAGAAGTCTGAATGATGGTGGTGGTTTGTGGGGGGGGAAAGACCTTTTTAAAGGTTTTTGCATGCCAGTGCACGGGCCTATTGCTGTGGGAAGGGGGGGGAGAAGAGAGTACGGTTTGCTTGAGGCAATGCACTGGAGGACAAAAGTGTTTTCTAGCACTAGGAAAAAAAGAAAATGCATGGCAGAGTTTCGTCTTCTAGTAGACTATATAGCATGCAGAGTTTAGTATGTGTCAAAACAGTGTATGACATTGCTGTATCAAAGTTGTAAAGTTAAGCATTATTTATTGAAAACTATGTATTTTTTTTTTTTGTAAAAAACCTTGATCACCTAGAGGATCAATATCATTCACTTGTGCTAGTACTACATTCTTAACCAGCTTCTTTACTACAGTACTTGATATGCAGTCTTAAGCGCTCAGGGTTGAAAAAACAGTCCACTGCAATGTCTCTTCTCTCTTTTTCTTTTTTTCTTCTTTGGGCAAGAATGTCAAACAAAGGAGCAAATTCATACAACAAATTCATACAAGATAAACATAAAGCAAAAAAAGTCTAATATAGTGGTGTGATCAATCCTTACATGTGTTTTACATGTGGATTTCCCCTCTGCCCATCCAGTTTTGTATTCTATATCTATAGAGAGGGTTCTGCTCTTCATTTTGTAGGGCAACCAAAATTCTCAGTCATCTGCCTTTCCAAACAAACATGGCTCATGGTCCCCCCAGTCAGGATAGCCTGGGGGGAAATGGTATTCTGTGCCCATCTGTCTCAAAACAAGGCAAATGTAATTTCTGTTTCCTGCTTTTAGTACTTTGGGTAAAACCAAAGTATTCTTTTGGCTCATCAATTCATGCAATGTTTTAAAGTTGAACATGAAATAAAGAAATAAGAGAAGTTTCTACTCTTGGATTAAATACCAGCAAACTCCATTTCTCTGTATCTTTTTTCTACAGACAATTTACACTGTAAATGTATTTTGACATAGAAATAAATCATTCTGTATTAAGATTCTTGATATGAAAATGTTTTTATGAAAATCTGTAATTGGAACTATAATATGTTTATAAAATGTGTTTATGTGGTGGAAGTTTGTTGTATATTAAATATGGTTTTATATAAATGATTGTGTTATATTGTAGAAATTTCAAAATACACAATTAACACAACCCATTTACGCTGTTCAAACCTTGACTGTCTAAAACTACTTTTAATTTGGTTTCTGTGTACATTTTCTCATCTAGCCCCAGGGTCAAATAACCCATGTAAGCGTGCCTATTTAGCAAAGGTGTTTGTATAATCAGAAATTCAAATATTTATCTCCACCTCCTAACCACTGGAATAAAAACAACAACAACTTTTCATCAAGTACTTAAGCCTACTTGAATGTAAGCTAATTCCGCCCCTTTTTAAGTCAGCTAATTGACCCTGGCTTAACTAGTTCATAGATGGCTAGTCTTGTCTTACATAGTGCTCATCTCATAAAAGTAAGTAGCATATTGCTGTATTTTCATTTGTGCCCAACACGGCATACATACGACTATAGTTCAATAGTGGAACATAGATGTTCTCCATCAGCTTTGGAAGTTCTTTGAATAACATCTGTTAATTTAATTGGTACAAATTATTTGGTATGTCTGACAATGTGCTGCACCATGATTACCTGTAGATATGAAACTGAAGAGTTGTCATCATTTGTGTTCAGACTGAGGGATTAGACAGAAAGTGTTTTAAGGGTCTGTGTGCAATGAGGAAATACTTACAGAAAGAGGTACCAGGTCGCAAGAGGGTGACTTCCACCTTTACTGACCATGCTAGGCCATTTGGACTAGTACTATTTGGCAGAAGGGCTGGCAGAATTCCTGCATGGCTTGTAAGTGTGAAGTGGGTCATTTCTGCACACCTGTCACTTGAAAGCCCAAAAAGACTCAAGCCAGTACAGATCTTACAATCTGTCATCCTGTAATGAAACTCTTCACACAAGCTCATATAAATTTCAAATGATCTTTTATGCATTTGTAAGCTATTTGACCCCAAAAGGATAATAATTCTGCTCCAGTTATGTTTATTGGTGTATGTCATTCATTCCCCGCCTTTTAGAACATACCTTCACATGGTGGCTTCCCATAATTAAAGCAAGAATACAGTACAACATGAAATGCATTTTTTAAAGAAAGAAAGAAAAGCACCAAATGAAGCCAGCTATAAAATAAATGGCCAAAAAGGAGGAGGGGTTCCCACTTGAAGGCTCCAAGAGAGGTCTCCAAACAAAGTCCTCTTAGGAGGAAATTTGACAGATTTCACAGAAAGGGTTCTGTCCATGGTACCTACCAACCTGACTAACTTTAACTGCAGGTTATAGGACAGGGACTTAACAGGCAGCTCTTATGGCCTAGATAGGTTTATATGGGTATAAGTGCTCCTTCAGATAACCTGGTCCCAAACCGATGAGGGTTTTAAAGGTTAACGCCAGCACTTTAATCTGAACCCAGAAAAGCATAAGATGGCTACTTCTGCTGAATGTAATATTGGTGCAGTACAGGCAAGTCACTTCTCCACAAGCATTTGGATGGCTGAATTGGCTAGTTTTGGGAACTATCTGACAAGGCAGCCTGAGCTCAATGAGAGACACATTACAATAACCTAGCCTGGATGTAACCAGCTTATGTGTGACTGAGACCCAGGCTGTTTTCTTCAGGCAGGGTTTTAGCTAGGTAAGCTTGTAAAAAAGCACTATTCTTTCTTGATTTCAAAATGCCTTGAGGCCTGACTACACACCATACACAAATGCAACCCCAAACCTGATGCATCTGGTCCACAGAATGAAAGCTGATTTGGGAGGGAGGTGATTTTGAGCAGATCAGTTGAAGGAGCTGTGTAATCTTTCCTCCTGCCCTCCACATCTCAGATCCAAATTAACCACATGGTTTGCTCTCCCCGTGGCATTCCAGATGCAAGTTGCTCTTTGCGGATGCAGCTATAATCCCACAGTTGGGGGGAGGGTGAATTGACAAGGGATTGGGAGCAGCGAACTGGTGGAGAAAGAGTTAAGCCCTATACACTGCTGCTCCATTCAAAAGGACACTCTCCCAACAACTTTGCCACATTCTCTTGTGTTATCCGCTTCCCACTAGATGACTTCTTGGAGGAAAAATTGTGCTTAGTAGATGCTGTAACAATTGTGCCTAGCTGTTACAAGGGGAGAATAGGGAAATGAAATAACAAATCAATAGTCATAATAACTTATGTACCCGACAGTGATGTGATCAGAGTTTTTAATCACCACATCTATAGGATGTGGTTATTCTTGTGAGGGAGTCACACTTTATAACCATCCAGTCAGCCTTTCACAACGCCTCTGATTAAGCAAATATTTCACAAAGAGCTACGAAGCCATAAAGTACATTATAGTATTGTACTTGGTCTATTATAAATGTTCAAATGAAGAGAAAGTTTTCCAGAAATATATATGCTTTTAAATCCTGATTCCATTCCCATTGCATACAGCCAAAAAGCAGCACTAAAATCCTCTTAAAACATCAAATATAAACATTATGATTCTTATTCAAGATTAATATCCTGAGTTTCTCCTTGCCAGTTTTGGAGCTGCCTCTTTGCCTTATGACAGGCGTACACAGTATTAGACACCTCATTTTTTTATTGCTCCAATATCACACATTTACTACTCCAGGTTCTGATCAAGGCCGGCCCTATCATTAGGCAGAGTGAGATAGCCACCTCAGGCAGCAGATACTGGGATCAGGGAGCAGCCCTTAATAAATTAACCTGCTACCCTCAGTTGCAGTAGAACAGTGGTGGACTTTGGGCTTTCAAATTTCAGCAGCGCCCTGTGCAACACTAAAATTTGGCACCCCACCTCTCACCTTTCTTCTTCTTCTTCTTCTTCTTCTTCTTCTTCTTCTTCTTCTTCTTCTTCTTCTTTAAAAAATATTTTATTAAGTTTCAACATTTTTAACATTTACAGTCAATAACACAATTTCATCTTTTCTCTTATTTTTGTCGACTTCCCACCCCTTTCCCCATGTTGTTTTTTCTCCTCTTCTGCTGCACTCTTATCTTCTATCTATCAAATCACAACCACAATATTATCATCTAATTACTTCTGTTGCACACAAAATCCAGCTTCTGAGTTCATCATACTATAATATAGTCGTACCTTGGAAGCCGAATGCCTTGGCACTCAAATGTTTTGGCTCCCGAACGCCGCAAACCCGGAAGTCAGTGTTCCAGTTTGCAAACATTCTTTTGTAACCCAAATGTCTGGTGCTGCTTCTACGGCTTCCAATTGGCTGCAGGAGCTTCCTGCAGCGAATCGGAAGCTGCACCTTGGTTTCTAAATGTTTTGGAAGTTGAACGGACTTACAGAACGGATTCCATTTGGCTTCCAAGGTACAACTGTAGTCTGAAAAATAGCATCTGTTCTTCCACAAAACACTCATCATTAGATTCTCTTAATTTTGCCAGTTCTGCATACTCCATCATCTTACTTATCCATTCTTCTTTGGTTGGAACTTCTTCTTCCTTCCATTTTTGTGCATATAAAATCCTAGCTGCTGCTGTTACAGACATAAGTAACTTTAACTATTTTTTTGCAGATTTCTGTTCCTATGATCTCAAACAGAAATGCTTTGAGCTTTTAAAATATACTTATTTAAAACATTATTATTTTTTATCTCGGCCTGTATCATTTCCCAAAACACTGTCCATTCTAAGTCATTGTTGTGGCCCCCCCGGCAGCACCCTCTCAGCTCAGTGCCCAGTTTGGGCGAATCAGTCACATTACCCTAAATCCCTAAATCCACCTCTCTGTAAGTAAGTAAGTAAGTAAGATTCAGCTGCCAGTCTTGTCGGTTTCTGTACATGAGAATGGGAGTGGGCCACCATCTTGTCATTTGCCTCAGGCAGCAACGTGTCAGAGGCCAGCCCTGCCTCTGAGGAATGTAGTTGCCAGAAAGGATTTTACATGGATTCAGGTTGTAGGAGCTGTGTACTATTTTACGAGAACAAGTGTTCCAAAGGTGGGTTTTCAAAGACAATTTGCAGTATCCTAGTGCTGATTCACATAGACGTCTTGACACTGTGGTGACATGGCGAAGTCACCACAAGTTCCTGTTGTTGTTGTTGTTGCTGCTGCTGCTGCTTGTTTGTTTTTAGAAAGTCAAACGGCCATGTAATTATTCTGGGAGACCTCCAAATCAAGGCTGGAACAAGGAATTGGTTTCTGTAATCTAGACAAGCTGCAGTACTGTATTTACCTATGTTGGACCATTTGCTAGACTATTCACTATGCCAGACAAATACTCATTTTCAACACAAGTAAAGGGTCATGTCAGTTCCTTGTTCCTCCCTGAAATTCGGTTAATGTCACAGACTCACTGGGAGTGTTAATTGAGTTCATCTGGAATGGATTTCAGCAAGCAGTTCTCCAAACAAGGGCAAACTTTTCATTACACATTGGTAGAGTAAATTTGTGTAAGCTGGACAGTTCTGTTGGAAGCATCAGCACCAGCTAGGTTGATAACCATTCAGAAACTGCTTCCAGAAAGTGGTGCCATAGGACATGCCCTTTGTTTCTTATACCACTTTGCACTTTGATGGCTGATAAGGCAAGGAGGATTTGGCTGCAAGGAGCCTCTTACTAATAGTGTGCTCTTTCACTGTCTCATGCAAAAGCCTCTACGGATGTGCTTCCTCCAGAGGCGCCAGCTTGCGAAGGCAATTGGGGAGAGGGCCAACGCTGCATGACGTTGCACTGCACAACATCCTGATGTTGCGCACGCGTCATCCCGATGTCACACACATATCCTCAGAAGGAGCCGGACGCGGAGGTTGTGCAGCTTCAACGGCCGGTGGCTCCTCCTCTGCCTCCTCTTAGCACTGCTAAGAGGCTGCTTCTGTCCCAGCTAAAAATTGGCCACTGTTTCTTTAATGCTTAAAAAAGCTGGGTCAGCATGAGTCAGCGGCCTGCACTGGGTTGTATATATAGAGTGAGAAATGTTAGTTTGTTGTTGTTGGGTTGGTTGGTTGGTTGGTTAGTGAAAGCTGGTAGTGTTGATGTGTGTACAGTTGGTCAGTTGCTTTTGCAGAAAGACTTTTAAGAAT